TTCGTCGGGCTCGTGATGGTGTTGATGTTAATGGTAGCGACGTTGTAGGATGTGAGAGACATTATGGAATGTATTACTCAACCATCTCGTCGTCTTCGTCATCGCGGCGGGGATTTTTGAGGATAGGTCGCCCTCGACTTCGCCTGCTGCTCGTGGAAGTGTTTGACTCGTCTGTCTCATTGCCCTTCGCTTTACTGCGTGGAGGTACACCACCAGGCTTTTTGAACAGCTCCACCGAATCCGAACTGATATCGGTCACCTTGGTGAGCGTTCTCGACGATGCTGGAGGTTGGGGTTTTGTTGTGTGTTGGGGTCTCGCATTCTGGCATAGTACTACCACCTCTGTTGGCGTGGTGAGTTGGCCGATGTGAGTTTTCTGGCCGAACAGTTCGTTGTCACTTGTCGACGGTGGCAATTCGGGAAAAGTTTCCGACGTTACCGGTGGTGGCGCAGCAGGCTTCGGGCCAGCTGGTTTATTTCGTTGCGGCTTCGGGGTCGATGGTTTTCGCAGCTGTTGCTGTTGCTGCTGCTGCTGTGGTCCCGTTTGCTTTGCCACATTAGCGTAGCTCTTCTGGACCAGCAGCTTTTTATTTTGTACACACGAAATACCCGTGTGTGTCAGCTCGTGGCAGTGACGGCACGACTGCAGTTGACCCTTGTAGGCAATGTATGCCTTCACTCCGTCGATAGTGGCCCACGAATCGATATTTCGTTCTACCACCATGCGGACAGACCAGATTCCAAGCGGCACGCTACCGTACTCGTGACCTTCACCAAACATAAGCTCCCGGATTGAAAGCACTTCGCCATACCGACTGAGGAACTCGAGAATCCTCTCTTCCGACACACCTTCGGGAAGATCCCACACACGCACTTCGACACTTCCATCTTCCATGGTAATACGGAGCTTGTATTTTTTTCCACTGCATTCCACTTCGTGTTTTTCGTCGTGTTCATCGACCACTTGTTGGGCCAAAGCTAGGTCGGCGACCTTGACGAACGCGCATGATTCGCCTCTATGACACTGTAGTCTCTTCACATCTTCCCTCTTCAGACCAAGTACCGTACGGCAAAAAACGTAGGTTTTTTCGTACGATGACTTCAGAGGGAGATTCGAATAATCTATTCGAAAGGTGTTTTCTTGCCTCATCGCGGAAACACTGCACGCGACGTGGCCCGGCGACACAAGGACAATTGTAAAAAAATGCCTGACTCTCTGATAAGCGTAGTTGAAAAACGTCTACACGTCTCAGAAGCTGAGCGATAACTACTGGATCATATCTAATTCGATACGAGAATTGCACCATACGAATCAACAACATTTCGTATGCCGGCAGAACTCGAACCACTGCTGGAAATCCGGTCCACCTTCATCTGGACGGAATAGCTATTTCCAAGGACAGTCATATATTGAACTTTAGCACATTGAACACCTCCAAAAACTGCAAACAGAAACACGGAAAGATTTGGATTTACTCCGTTTAAAAAGCTACAGTCTGCATTTCCCACACTGGTCCCTTTTTGGAGGGATAACCATCCTCCCCATAATCGGTATCATTATTTTCCTCAGCATTTTCTCCCGCAGAACAACAAATATCAAACTAGAGACGATGCCAAACACCAACGATCATCATGGAAAATCGGAACCTGGAAAAAACGTCGGAAATCTAAATACATATTCATTTGGAAATACTATGCCCCTGGAGGTTCATCACTAAGGAGGGGCGAGTTAACGCCGGTGCCAACCGTACTTGGCAAATTCCATCGTCGGTGCTTTCGTCAGCATCTAGGACGGATTCACATAACGGCAACAGCAGCGAGCTTCATCAGCATTCCGCAATCGGGCGATCGATTGGACTCCGAACTTGCATAGTGGACACTTTTCGCGAGTGCTAGGTTCTCTGTTGGAATTATTGATTGAATAAAGTAGTCTTTAGGTAGCAGCAGTAGTGAGTAGATCTTTTTTAAAAAGAACCTCCGACGTTCAAAACATTAACTCGCGCAAGGAATAGCGCTTCAACCCAGTGTAGATGAAGTGAGTTCGTTTTGAATATCTTCGCTGTGGGGTACGAGCAAAACTAACAAATGAGTTCATTATACATCCACGAATACGCGTTTGTTGATATTCACCATTGCTTGATTATCCAATCCAAAATTGTCCAAATCAGAAACGATCCTCAAAAGCAAAATAATCGAATTCATGTTGGGCAAAATGATTATTTTGAATATTGTCGATTGCAGAGCCTAAAACCTCGATATCATCATCAATTCAGCATTAGGCAATAATTTTCCATCAATCTGTGTATAAAAACCAACACAACACGTTCTACAGCACTGTATTTGTGTAGTATGACAATAATCATTTTGCATTTGATCCTCAAAATCATCCCCACCAAGATGAAGAAGAATATTAGTATTGACAATAACAGAGGCGATAATGAACATCTAGCTACGAGTTATTTTCATTTTACACAAATATAGCGCCGTAGAACATGTTGTGCTTTACGTTTTTACGCACGATGGAAAATTATTGCCTCATACTGAACTGATGACAATACCGAGGTTTTAGGCTGGGGTCGACAATATTCAAATTAATCATTTTGCCCAAAATGAATTTGATTATTTTACTTTTGAACATAGTTTTTGATTTTGACAATTTCAGGTTGGATAATCAAGGTGAATATCAACAAACGCATATTCGCATGTTCATTTCACTCGTATTTCAAAACGAACGTAATTCATCTACACGGCCAACCAGAACGACTCAGCGACTGAATTCAAATGACTAAGAGCATATTCTTTCCATACAAAATTTACTCATATTTGGGAAAACCTGCATGAACTCATAGCTAATGGAGAAAATTTTGTATGGAATGAAAATGTTCTGAGTCAACTGAATTCAGTCACTGAGTCGTTCTGGTTGGCCGAGTACACTGGGTTGAAGCGTTACTCCTTGCGTGATAAAAACAAACACTGCTACTCACAACCACAGCACTCGGTGAGATTTTGCAGTTTTTTTTTATTTCTTCCAATTTTTCTCGGCGAAATATATGTAGGATAGACCGCTACTTCGTCGTATTCGCCCATTTCCGTTCTATCGATCAGAAAAGATTAATAATATCAATGATTTCACTGTGCACAAATCAATAATAGGTTTGTTCCGATGCGTTAGTTCGTTAGCCACAACATAAATCCTATTAGAGCGCATTGTATGAATATTTACGCTCATTGTTCTCAAAACAAAAGAAGCGATCCTAGCTAATCTCCTTTTTCTACATTTATCCGTAGGACAAAGAAAATTGAATGGCGTTTCAATGCGTTTGGACGGAATTGAAACTCGTAGGACGAATTTAGAATCTAGAAGCAGTATTGGATTTTAAACAATATTTCAACAATTTGTAACTCTTTAACAAAGCCAACGGTATGCATGGAAAGGTGAATAAATTTAGAAGTCATCTTTGACAGAAATATTCAATTTTGTGTTCAAACCCGTTCAAAAAGAGAGTAGTACTTAGTAGGATGGAAATTAGATGAACAACCCTATGGTTTCGTTTTTCGTAATCTTAAAGCCGTGGTGCATCCAAGTTTAAAGTACATTTAATTGGTTTTAGTGGTCAGTAGTCATTGCAGAGGATGTCTCGGAGGATGTAATAAATCCACTCTTACATTTTTGATGTTCATGCCATTTGTTGTTTGCGTGTAGTTTATTCAGTTTTCACTATCTCGAATCTCGAATGATTTATGGAAAGGAAAAGCAATTGGAATCAAATGTTCGTCGCCCCGCCAATTAACACACTAGAAATAAAAACAAAATACACTGAGGCTTAGAAGCACTCGACATCCTCTGAAATAATATAATATGAAACTGACCAAGTAGGTGAACCCTCAGAATTAACAGGAAGGGAGATTTTCCGCTTCCTAGTGGCCTGTGGGGAGGGAAAAAAAAACTAAAACTACTCTATCCTGATCCTTGGTGAATGGAATAATAATGGCTCTTTGCTCGAGTTTCGTTTCCATTCCAGAGCATACCTCTTAAGACTGTTAGACAGTCGACTTCCGCCGCTATACTGAGCTAAGAAGGGGGGAAGATAAGAATGAAGCTGGTGAAAGCAAAAGAGTAGGTGGCTGTAATTTCATCTCTTTAACTCATTCGCATGCTGTTTGCATAGTTTAGATGAAGTAATGAAATTGAGTTGTCAGTGAAATGATCAAAAACAGCAATCTTCCATTTAATTCCACTTAATTAATTTTTGTAGTTGGTTGAAAATGCTATCTAACATGAAGCTTTAGTGCGATAATTTATTCGCTAGAGGATAGTCTGAAGAGGGTAGGTGGGTAGTTCCGCTAGAATACGGCAGTATGAAAATTGAATAGAAGTTGAAGTTAGCTCAGAATTATCATGGAATAATCCTCAGATATTTCAATGAACTTTCATTAAAATACACGTTGAATCAAATTCAGACTTTGCTTGAAATTATACTCAAAATATCCCAGGTTTTACATGAAATCTAGAATCCCTCACAACTATCGTAGAAGAAGTTTGGTTAATCCTCCTTATTTTGCATTGATAACGTTTAAACTTTTCAATTCCCAATAAAATAAAACGTCATAAATGTATCTGTAGTTTTGAATTTTTCAATGTCATGTCCTCGATTATATTAACCCATCCCAAGTTTCCATCCCCCAACAGCATACGATGCAGTGCCTAAACAAACACATCAAAATCAATTTCATCACCGTCAATCGTGTCATGTTCCTTTCAATTTGCTAGCTTGCAAAATTCACTAATCTCACTTAACCGCACAGCCCACACCGTTCGTCGCACGAAATTTCCCACAGTTGCCTAGCATATTTAATAGGAAAACCCAACCGACAGACCGACGGTGTTATGTGAATGTGTGTGTGTGTTTGATGAATATTAAATTTCTCAACATAGGCAGATCGAGTTTTCCCCAAATATTTCGCATTGATCTAAATGTTATGCCTCGCTCCACACTCACCTGTCATACTCCCGGTTGTCCTCGTCGCAGCGGGCGTCCTGGAGGTCTCGCCAGCTTTTTCCATGCCGGCAGGTCGTCACCAGCACCAGATCCCGGGCGTTGTGCAGATGAAACAACGAATTCCTCGTTTCGGAACCAATTCCATGGACGTATCTGAAAGGAGAAAGTGGCAGTGATTAGTTCAAGCCGGTGTGGAAGTGAGACAAACAAATCTTAACCGACGAGTGGTTCCCTATATGGCCGAAAGTGGTGAGCGCTGTCAGCACTTTGATTGTGTCTTAAATTGGGCAAAATCGGATGATGCCGACGACGGAGTGCTGCTTTCATTCGGAGGCACACAAACTGGTTTACTCATTCCATGTGCTACGCCAGAGGTAAGATGTTGATTAGGAACAAAGGAAGTTTCCTGGATTTCATCATGGGCATACGCTGGAAGCTTTAACTTCTATTGCCTCATTTCGGATACGTCTGTGACTAACCGCTCGAGTAAGGGGAGAAAAGATCTTTCTCTTTCTAGTTGAAAGGTGGTCAAGGAGCAATGTTGAACCATAAAGGCACTGAATCGGAAATTGCTTGTGGTCGCCCAGATATCTGCAGACATACAAAGAGCAGACTCAATCACACTCGTTACTCGGCACTAGTGTGCTCGTCTTGATAAGATCAGAATCGGTAGAATAGAAGAAACCAGTGGAGGGGGGATGGAACCACAATGGACAGAGTTTATCCTATTTCCGGAAGAGGGAGAGAGACAGAGACCAAATAACGAATCTGATAGTAATTGATGATCCATGCACAACAGCATCTATTAGGGACCCGTTCAAATATTACAGAACGCAGGAGAGGGTGTGGGTAGTTTGGCTACGTGTTACATGCCATGTGTTGGATGTAGAGGGATATTTTTTCAAAAATCAATTGTTTTGCGTTAAATAATATTTGAACGGGCCCCAACTCCGAATCGAAGACGATGTTAGAATCTGTGCTCCATTGCGACCATCCTGGGAGATAAGACAAATACAATCCATTAAAATCCTGTTGATTAGGTCGGGGGAAGTTCTCTAAGGTACTGGATTTATGCTGGTTTTTGATGAGCTGCAAGCAGAATACCGCCATGTTTCAGGGTTTAGACACTTTATATTAATGTCACTGTTTACCAACGTTAAATTATTCAATCAATTTACCATTTAGCCAAGCTTTTGCATTAATTTTCAATCAGATGTCAGTGACGTTACCTCTTAACCTATAAATCTCTTCCACAGACTATAACGTAGAGTACCTGACACTTCAAAACATGAGCAGTTAACACATCCATGGAATCCAGTGATGCCACATATAAAGATGTATCTGTATTCATACAGACTTTGTTTTAAATATTTTGATACAGATATACAGATCACAGATTTTGGAAAAATAATCAAATTTTATTATTTTTAAATAAGGCGATCATATTTGATTTACCAATTTTTTAATTGCGATGAATAATTTCTTCTTCATTTTGAGCAGCTTGAATTAATCATATCGTAAGGCCATTTTCCGCGGAGATGGCGCAGTTCCGCTGGTAGGAAGTCATAAAAAATCCTCATATAAAAATCGCGAGAAGTGGGAATAATTCGTTTTCGATGCACATTCAGGTAAAAAAAAAGTGAACGACAACCTAAAGAAATCAGTCTGGAGTTTTGACGTTTAAAATCTTTCCCGGAAATTATTGTGAAACAAGTTACAATTAAATAACACTATTTTCCTATACATTTTTCACCCGCTTTACTGCCAGTCGCAAGAGATCCAAAAAATCCAAATCCAAGAACGAAAATGGTCTCTCACGAGCTCAATTTCTCAACAACCCATACATATTGATGCCACACAATATGTGATTTTCCTTTCACAGACTACACAGCCCTCCGTTAACAATTAACGGAACGTAATTTCCGATAGATGTCACCATTATTCGGAAGAAAAATTAATGCAGAAACATGGATTAATTCAATCTTTGAGCAACGCAAATTATATTTTTCACTAAATAAAATATTATTGTTTCATCTTCGAATGGACTTGCAATCTTTTGAATGGACTTTTGATGTTCAGATGTTCTGATTTCTCGTTGGAGGAGATATTAGTTTCCCTTTCTTTTATTTTGATCCGAGGGGGAAGACAGTGAGAAATTCAGAGCAATTCAGAGTAACTTTGAGGAATTCTCTTGCTCTCTGATGAACGATTTCATAATCTCGTTTGTATTGACATCACAACCCAAGCAATCACATTTTCCGGAGTTTGGAACATTGCTGCTCAGATTCTAAATAAATGGAGTTAGTTAAACTCGTGAATGTATTTTCCTGTTCTAGCAACAGAGAGCCTCGCAGGACTTATCTTCAAGTACATATCCTCACCGGAGTTGGTTGCCGGAAGGGCATATATATTCGCTTACTCTAAGCATCTGGATGCTCAGTAGTATTACGGTGGCAAACTCCTGGTCAATTTTATTAGCATTGCAAAATGAAAAGTGTCCTACAGAAAACCATCACCACTGTGATTAAGAAAATATCCAAAACCTGTTTTGAACTAGTAGAAAACGAGAACTTCAGGGAATAGTTGGAAAAAACTTCCTGGGAGATGTGGAAAGAAACTTTTGGAAATAGTCAGTTACAACTTTCAGGGAAGAGCCTTTCAGCTGTGGTTAAAAAATGTTTTCGAGGAAGCATGGACAAGCTTCCAGATTATGTCGAATAATAAAGAAATTTTTTTTAGAATTCGCACAAAAATTCTGAAAAAAATCCTGAAGTTGGAAAAGCTTATTGAAGTTGGAACAAAATTTTCCTGTGATATATCCGGGAAAGCTTCTGGAGGATTAAAAAAAACTCTGTGTAGCCAGAATCTTCCAAAATAAATCTAGAATACACACACTTTCAGGAGATGCAAAAAAAGAATCTGGTGTATCTTTCAGGAAAAAAAGGATACCAATTTCGGAAGAAGTTCAAATAAACTAGCGAGATAAGCTTTGGAATAAGGTCAGAGATACTTTCCAAGAGTAACCAGGAGAACACCTGAAAATATTACTGAGGGAAATAATTAGAATTATAAATAAATCCGTAGGAAGTTGGAAGAAGATTCCTGAAAAAAAGAAGAAACTTCCGGGAAATGCCACAAGAAACTTCCGAGAAAGGAAAGAATGAAAACCTCTTTGGAAGTCGGAAGAAAATTTCAGGAAAAGTCTGAACCCTCCAAGTATAGTATGTAATTATTTCAAGATTCCCGGGAATTTCCGGGTAGCCTAAAAAGGTCGGAAAATGGAAACTCTACTCAGAATCCAACACACTCGAAAATCTCATCAAAACTCTCAAAAAATTCTTCTCAGAACTTAATAAGAATAGTCATTACAAATGCACCTGGAACCCTTCACAATCATCACAAACATGAAATTTTCCCATGAACTAACTAAAACATCTACTTTGAATTCACAAAATTGGCTTGGAATTCTAATCAAAACTCTCTAAGAGTTCTTCCCACAACTCCCTTGGAATTTTTCGCTGAAATACCTTCTTGTTGTTCCTAGAATGCATTCCTAAATTTTCTCAAAATTATCTCCATTGTTCTTCAAAGTGACTGTATCCTGAAAATCTACTCCAGTCCAAGGGTCTTAACATTTTTCCAAGGTTCAGAATCTTATTCTTCCGAAAATAGGACGAAAGATATTTTTCCCGATTCACGTCATCACAATTTGCGGGCTTTTACCGTTGTTTTTTTTTTCAGATGATTTAAAATTCCTGGCGTTTGCCCGGTTTTCCCCATTTTTAGTTAACTGGTCACCCTGGAACTTGTAGGATTACTACGGTAGGTGCTGCCCCGTAACGTGGGTAGATCACCCTATTCATGGTTCGTTACGGGATGTAAGATCTACCACCGATTCCTAGTCCTGACTACTTCAAACTAGGGGAACAGGATTTTTCAGTAATCAAAGAAACACATCTTAGTCCTTGTTACTTTTTATGCCCTGTTGATAGTGACAAGACTCGGCTTTGTCTACCGATGATCTTGAAAAAAGGAGAAAAAAATAATTAGTGATGTGTTTCCTAACATTCCATTCGTTGTTCCCTAGTTTGAATTGGTTAAGACTAGGGTTTTGATGCATGGTCATTTTCGGTGTAATTCCTTAATTTTGTTGATAAGGAATCCAATTTCCAAAATATCGTGTACTTCATCATTTCTCAATAGCGATGGAGTAATACGACATGCACTAAACTAAGGACACGGGATATTCTACAATTGATCAAATTACTGGTTGCAGTGGTGTTAGCTGATAGGCTGACTAAAAGTAAATTGATACGCACAAAAAGACCTGTTATTCGTGATTCAATAAGTTTAAAAGTCCATTAATGGTTGCTTTACAGTACTTTTATTAAAACTTCAAAGTTGCAGCATTAGATGGTTACATTTCTGCAGTTCGAACGAAATTTCGAACCTTCATTTTGATGGAGCCCATCAGCGCCCGCACAGTGGAAACGGACACGGAATCAGCGCATTTCTTCCATTTTGCCCGCTTTTGCTGGATATTCTTTACTGCACCGCCGCTTCGTCGAAGTCACTGCTTTGAAATTGCCCAGTATTATTCGACTGGTCGAAATTCCGGGCAATTCTGAGGATGCATTAGCTTGGGGAAAAAAATGATCTTGCTGGCAGCATACCACTCCAGAACCACCAGTAGTGGCAGCTGGCAAAATCAGGCCAAAAAATGTCTTTGTCCCTATGCTTGCGGATGAACGGCAATACACGCTTTTTCAGGCATTCTTCGATGTAAACTTGGGATGTCATCGTCGAGGATGTGACGAATGGTTTTGTTTTCAGGTCACAATTGCAAATCCCTTGCCGAATCATGGCCTTCTTCGCAAGCTTGTCGGTAAACACGATCTTGAATCTTCCCGGCACATCCCCACGTCCAGTCGCGATGTAAAACTTTTGACCGGGAAGCTGTTAAAAATCGAGTTTGAAGTATGTTTCGTCATCGATCAAAGTGCAGCCCTTGTGATTCGTCAAAACACGGTCGCACAAGAGCCTTGCACGCTTTTTGGCCACGGAATTCTGCTGCATGTGTCGATTCGGATGTTCACTGGCGTTGTACGACTTGTGTCCTTCCCTGGCAAGGATGTTCCGCACCGTTTGAAAGT